AAACTCCTGGTCGCCCAACTTAGTTTACATTGCAAATAGCTTTAACAACTAAGATGTTGTATGCAAGTCAGACTGACGTAAACTCAGGCTCTAGTAGAGTTTTAAGTCCCCGGTGACGTTGTCGATCAGATCAGCCGGGCCGGGACCGATGCCCAACACGGTGCGTGACCCAGGCGCAATTTGTGTCCTTCCTGCATCTTGAATCAGGCTGACAGGAAGCCCCACTTCTTTGGCATGACTCAGCAGATCAATCAGGGTGTCCTCATCGGGGGCCTTCACCACCACCTTGGGCTGACCGCAGTACTCCCACTGTTTGAGAAGCTCTGGGTTCCTACGCTGAACCTGTTTGTAAGCCGACACAGCAGCATGGGAGCACTGGGCAGCCACCTTCCCTTTACCCATCTTCAGGTCATTTCGCACCACCAGGATCATCTTGAACTCGCCGCCTTCTCCCATCACACTTGCTTCACCGGTGCCATTCCCCATCGCTGCCATCACGGTTTTGGATGTCTGGCCCAAGCGAGCCCGAAGGTGCCAGCCGAGGAGGAGCCCACAGCCGAGTCCTGCGACGAGACCCAGGCCCAACGGACCATACCCCAAGTCCATGTTGTTAAACCTGCAAAAATGACAGAATACAGTTAGTCTGTGTCACACCTGTACCAGTGATTCTGCTGCTCTCAACTAGTTACATTAAACTTTTAATAAAAAATTTAAATTATATGCCGCTAATGTTTATCTTTCCCCATGGTCTAGAAAATGGCACGGAATATTAGTTTCTTTCAAGTAGGGCTGTCAGCATTAACATGTTTATCGCTATGTGATTAAAGTCCAAACATAATGAGTTATTTTTTGAAAACTGCATTAACTGCGTGCTGCTATTTTCTTCGATGCACCTTTACTTGTGGTCAAGCCATCGTCGTGGCTTCCTGCTACCACAATGATGGAAAATAGTGACACCACTCTCACTCCCAAAATTTCCAGATGGCTCAATTGACAAGTCAAAAGTAATATGCACCTTGTGTCAAATGGAATTAAAATATCACTAAAGTACTTTTTGAGTCTGAGCTACAGCCTATGAGCTGAGCACACAGGAGCAGCTCATCAGACTGACGTCAGTGGGGCAACCACATCGCAAAGAATTATTTTGGAGTGTGCCAGTCATTCACCACACACCTGTGAATGAAACTAAATCAAAGAAGTTAACTACAGCACTTGACTGACTGCAGACTAGTCAACATCCAGGAAGACTTGAGTCTAGGGGACATCCTCAGGTTGGCATGTTGTGACCAGTCATACGCCTTATCGTCAAGAGGAACATTAGTTTTATACATACAGGACCTGTATGAATCAGAAACTGTAACTCCTGAAAAGTGCAAATGATGTCAAGATCTAAAACTCGAGAATATATTGCATATTTCTTGCTCTCATTTGAATCCCAATCAATCAAATCATTGCGTTACCTTGTTAATATGGACTTCAACAACTGTTTTGAAATTTAAACATGCACTTTAAAAACGTGATTAATCACAATTAACTATTAAATTAATTAATAATTAATCGTAACTAAAAAATTAATCATCTGACAGCCCCTTCTTTCAACATACTGTATTAAAGTTAGAAATTCCAGTATGGTGACAGCACTGGCACACTGTTTACAAAGCTGACATTCCTTCCCCTTCCCATTATTAGTGGGGTATTTTTGTTTGTTTGTTTGAAGCCTGTGAACAAGTGAGCATTAACATTATATGCAACTAACTCAAATGTAGCATAATCTGCTGACATGTTTTTATTTTGTAGACTTTTTATTTATCATTTCGTATCACATTATGAATTTGATCCTTTTTCTATCACAAAGTAGCTTCAACTACCTTTTCTGGTTAGCTTTAGTTAGCTAAACTATATTTCTCCCTCAGTTAGCTTTGCTCTATTTTAGCCTCTCACAGAGTGAGCCAAGTGCTAGCTTGCAAAGCTATGCTATCAAAGTAGCTGCCCTAACACTGGTTACCGGTGTTTACGTTATTTAGTAACTTTACTAACCCTGTGCCTGTAATACCATCTGACTAGAAAGCCAGTTCAGTTTGTCAACACATCACCAATGTAAGATTTGGCTACACTGAACGCTTTCTTTAAACTAACGACAACTTCGTGGGCTAACAAGCTAACGCTAGCTTACTAACTTTATTGTAAGCTAACGTTAGCTTCCTGGCTAGAAGGGAGACCGCTTCAGACATCAGACATCACTTTGGGGACAAGCAGACTCAAACATTTCAGGCCCTGATAGTGCCATAAAAGTGCAGGACAACTGTTACACGGCAGATAACACTGATTACATGTCATACCTACCGGATTGTCAAACGTGCCGAGTATGAATGAAGCTTCTTCTACTTCTTCTTCTTCTTCGGTTATTTTTGGCGGTTGGAATTCAAAATGGCGCATTACCGCCACCTACTGGATTTACCCGGAAGTCTCCACTTACTGCATATAATAATTTAATGCTAAGGGACTGTTCATTACTCATGAGGCGCGAGGGGGTGGTGCAAAAAAGGGGGAGGCATGTCAAATAATATGTTTAAGCACTGAGGGGGACTTATGTCTTTTTTATTTTGGCTTAGGGGAGGTTACAAATGTTTTTGTATTTATTTCACACAGATTTTTAAAGAAAACATGCTGCAGACAGATATTTTAAGTGAGACATAGACCTAGAATGACTTGATTTTTAGAATATATTTCCTGTTTTGTTTTTTTTACTTTATTTGATAGGACAGTGTGTAAATCTGAAAGGAGGAAGAGAGAGAGAGAGGACGACATGCAGCAAAGGGCCAAAGGCTGAAATGACACTTCGGCCACTGCGGCAAGGACCTCACCTTTGTACATGGGATGCCCACTCTACCACTGAACTACTGGGCACCCCAGAATCAAGTGATTTTGATTAAATATCACTCAGTACGTTTACATGCAGCTTGAGAAAAATTGAATTATTGGCTGAGTCCGACTGAAACCAGACTTTTAAATGCATGTAAACAGATTAGTCCAACTGAAATGGATTACTGTTAATTTATCATGTTGATCTGTTCTGTGCGACATCTATTGCATGTCTGTCCATCCTGGAAGAGGGATCCCTCCTCAGTTGCTCTTCCTGAGGTTTCTACCATTTTTTAAAGGGTTTTTTTGGGGGAGTTTTTCCTTATCCGCTGCGAGGGTCCTAAGGACAGAGGGATGTCGTATGCTGTAAAGCCCTATGAGGCAAACTGTGATTTGTGATATTGGGCTTTATAAATAAAACTGAAATTGATTGATTGAAATTGGACTATCTGTAGCTCGACTAACACACCTAGGTAATTCAATTGAAAATGGAATTATTGCTGCATGTATCCACTTGGTCTGACTGGAGTCGGACTCAGCGTTCTGCGCACGCACCAATTTTTCTTTTGCGAGCTTTCACCTGGAAGAAGAAGGAGATGACGTAGCAGCAGTTCAGTATATAGCAGTGCAGTACCTCCCAGAAAAACGAACGGAAACAAAACAGAGGTCGCACTTTTCGACGGACAAGGAAACTACTGTACATCCATTTCCGCCATGTTTATTCGTCTTTAGCTTCCTCTTTGGGTCAACCAGAACTAGTTCAACATGCACTATATTAAAAAGGACATAGCACTGCCTATCATGGCAGTGTCAGATGTACTTGGTCAAAAATTGGATTTTCTCTTCTGCATGTATACTCAGACAAGACGAGAAGTCCAACTTGACTGATTAGCTGAGCTATGAGCTTAGCTTGACTACTGCCTGCATGTAAATGTACTGACTATTTTAAGCTCACATTTGGTTGTTTTTTTTATCTGTTGGAAGTGTTCATCACACATAATATGTCCAAGGACCGTCATGAATTTGAAAATCAAAAAATAATATCTGTTTTTGCAGTTACTAACCATGATACATGGTGTAATTTTGGTGAGTTTGTTATTTTTTTATTTTTATTTTTTTTGAAAGAAAACATACCTTTCAATACCACCCACTGTATGTTTTCTCAAAAATCACCAGAATTACACCTCATAGCCAGAAACTGTAAAAACAGAAATTATCATTGGATTTCTGATGGTCCTCGGACACATCATCACTTAAAGATTCCAAAAATAAACCGTTTGCACGAACTAACAAGCATGCATGACAAGAGCAGAAAACCAAGGCTATTTTCAACCCCAGGCTTCTTCAAACTTCTAACTTTAGAGTTTCAAACATCAAATGATAAGTTTTAAATATCTAATAACTAATTTATTTATTACTTATTCAGTGTTATGGGAGGATAATGCATTTTCTGCCAGTCACTCAGAGAAGCTCAGGGAAAAATATCTGTAGCTTCAGGGAGGGTCAAAATGCAAAACAAAGTCACACCCTAGCCATCCATCTTCTCTGATAAATAGAGAACAGTCTCTAATTGTAAGCAGCCCTCCCAATCCAGTTCACACACTATTATAAATGTCCTACTTTCTGGTTGTTTGAGAGAGCCTAAAAGATTTTTTTTTTTTTTTTTTTTTTTAAAAACTATTGTACATCTTCTCCAGAAACAGGGCCGGCCCTAGACTTTTGGATATTATAAATGTAATTTGAGCTGAGTTTTCCTGTCCAGTTTCTGAAAAACTGTAAAACCACACAAACTTCTGTATGGTTATAGTGTGCATCATCCTAAACAGGAATCTATTGGAAATTCCTTAACCTATATGGTGCAGTGGTTAGCACTGTCACCTCACAGCAAGAGGGTTCTTGGTTTGAACCCAGGGTGGGGGGTTCTTAAGTCCTTCTGTGCAGAGTTTGCATGTTCTCCCCATGTCAGCGTGGGTTTCCTCCAGGTGCTCCAGCTTCCTCCCACAGTCCAAAGACATGCAGGTTAATTGGTGACTTTAAATTGTCCGTAGGTGTGAATATGAGTGTGAATGGTTGTCTGTCTCTATGTGTCAGCCCTGTGATAGTCTGGTGACCTGTCCAGGGTGTACCCTGCCTCTCGCCCAATGTCAGCTGGGATAGGCTCCAGCCCCCCACGACCCCCAGCAGGATAAGCGGTTACGGAAAATGAATGAATGAATACATAAGAAAGGTTTTTATGTGAAGTCAAATGAAATTATTTGATAATATTTTAACTTTGGAGCTCCCTTTTCCAACACATTCTCACTCCAACCATGTCACGTATCTACATTGGGTCATGGACTTTCCACCTCCAGAGATGACGTGCAAGGTACCCTGGGTGCATTGGTGGTCGATGTTCTGGGACACCGAGTCAAGTTTTGCCTGTTACATATATTGTCTTCTTTCAAAATAAACGCATGACGTAGGTATAACACCGCAAACTGACGTTTTTTTCCTTCAGCAACTTAGGCACGTGGACGTGTTTAGGCAACAGAAACACGTGGCTAGGTTTTGGCTACAAAGGCACATGGTTAGGTTTCGGAAAAACAGAACAGGGCCACAGCAAGGCCTTCACAAAAAACAAAAAAACATGATTACGCCTTGACAAAAGGGCATTTTGGACATCAAGGGGCAAAGGGACAAGTGCTCGAGCTCGTGCCTGCACCTGAGTCCCATGCATGCCTTTTTTAAATCCTGTCTCTACACTGCCTTAAGTTAACAACAGTCGCATTGATGCTGAAAACCTGTGTAGGCCTTCTTTTTTCCTTAGTGAGAACAGAGTGACCTGCTGGAGAACACTCACCAGAAATAAATGTCCTCACTCTGATAAACAAGATGATGCTGACACTAAAACATGGCGACTTGCAGTTGAGGTCCTCAGACTCTAGTTATGACCTGAAAAATGTGATGTCCTGAGGTGTTCTTTTTTTTTCAATTTGGGAATTAGCTGAGCTCTCTTTGCCGAAATGCCATTCATTCACTCTCTGTGTGAAACCTACAGAGGACTGAGAAGTGTTAGAAGTGCGCTCCAGGAAAGTGATCCACTTATTTATAGGCCTTTAATTAGACTGGCTCTCTGGAGGTTCCACCAGGCAAATGATGAAATCTCCCCCTCTTTCTGTGCGTCTCTTCTGTCAGCCTGCTCTCCCCTCCCCCGGCAACTCTGTATCAGTACTCGATCCCTCGCTGGCCCCCTCCATCACCACACCCTGCACTCAAGTTGTGATGCAGTTCACGGGTAGCGTACTTTTGCCCTACATTGCCACTGGGGCTCCACCAAAGGGTTTCATTTGAGCCCAGAGCTTAGTGTGGATTAAACATCAGCTGAACGGTGAGTTTTCCTTCTGTGCATAATGCATGCTAAAATACATTAAGCCGTTACACTGCAGCCCTGCTTTGTTTTTACACTGTGTGTGAATTTATAATCTGTCTCCAGTGCACTCTCATTATCTGTGTTTGAATGTGGACACTGATTGCAGCTTATCAGATGTCTCACCCTGAAGTGTGTGTGTGTGCTCTGTGTTGAGTTTCACATTGTCCCTCGCACAAGAATTACTCAACAGGTCTGGGTTGTTTTGGTAGAAGCGATTGCGCAATCAAGTGCTGGAGCTGCGCTACTGTGTTTCACATGAGCTGTAGTGGTGTTATGAAACAGTATACTAGGTATTGATGCTTAATGATGCATGGAGTTGCAATTGTTATGCAGAATCAAGCACGTATGTTTGCAGTGACAGCTGAGGTCCATGTTTTACAGAGTTTGGCACCAATATCTTTTGCTTATTACACATTGACGCACTTCATTGAGCCCTATTGTTGGACAGTGCATTGTAGGTGTGTACTATTGTGCATAAAGCATTGGCACAGTGCTTCGAGTGTGAGTGTGAGCGTTCAAGGTTTATGGTCTGTGATAAAAAAGCTCTTGTTTGTGGCTTCCTGAGAAGGGCCAAGAGTCCAAATGCCTTGCAGTCCAATTGTCTGAGAAGATTTTTATATTCTTCTGTGGGACACTAATGTTGCATGAATCAGACTTCAATGTTCCCTCTTTTCTAAGTGATCATAATGCATTTGTCCTTCAAGATAACGCAGGACGCCTAAACATGCTGGACCTACATGTTGGTCTTTAAAATTTTCAGGTCACAAGTGGGAAAAAAATCAAAGCATTTACACAAATCTCATCTTGTATCAAATTCCCATAGAGGCATCATGGCCTGCTGTAACATCAGTACTGCACACCACCTGGTATTCACAAACGTCTTGGGTTATCGGATCACAAGTGAGCAGCTCTAAACACAGGTGTGAACACCTCCTTCACACTGGTCAAAAAACCCACTAACATCTGGCTTTTGTATTCCATGGGAAAAGTCACAGTCAGCAGTCATTCCACGGACAAATGACTCTACTGTAGTCACAGGAATGTATCGGCTCTGGCTCCAATCGGCTTCGATTGGCAGATGGAAATACACTTAGGTCGACACGTTAATTGACATGCTGAGATACTTACAAGAGATATAAAAAAGAAGTAACCACTGTAACATTTTCACTGGCCTCTATCCTGCTTTCTACTCTTTACAAACGTGTTTTCCAGCCCTCCCTGCAGGTCAAACATGACACACCAGGAAAAAACAAAAAAACTACTCATTAGATCACACAAAGGCCTTATTAGGTTACCTGTAATCTGCAGGAGCAGGAAAACACTGGCTGCTCCACTGCTGTGTGGGAGCGTATACAGACATATTTTAGTGTGGAGAGTGCCGTTTGTGTGTATGTGATTCTCTGATAATTGCCTGTCTCTTTCTCAGCAGGACTTCTTCCCGATGAATGTGATGGCAGAGTGTGAGGCTGAAGTTGAACTACCTCAGAGGCGTCTTGGCGTCAAGGAACAGCCAAATGGAGAGCTGGCAGGTAGAAACAAAAGACATTTAATATACAGCTGAGCAGTAATCTAAAGATCTAAAAGTGTTTGATGTATTTACACGATTTTTATTAAAAATGTTAATTCCTTATTTTCTTACTTGTGTGCAAACTTACAATGTCAACGCTGTGTGGCTAGACTCAGAGCTGTCTGTGGATGAGAGGGAACAGAGGGACAGTGAGGAGCATGACAATCTGGTATTATGGAAGAAACCTCTGCTCACACTCCACTTCTTCACTCTGGAACTGCTCATCACTCTTAAGGAGTGGCTTTGGAGGTAAGACCAAAAGTGGGATGCAGCTTCCCCCAAAAGCACTCCCCCTTTTCTGCAAAGTTACACCTTAAGCATTAGGCCGTAGATCTTAAATGCATTTGATCAGTAAAAGTTTACCCCAGAATTTAGAGTCAAAACTATATTGATGTTTGTAATTAAATGTGAGAAACTTAATTAAAGGGAAAAACCAACTTAATTATGAACTCTAATATGTTATTTCAGTGGCCTGGGAAAGTTTAGTCAATATTTGTGACCATGAGCTCCTCTCTCCCAAAGCCATAAAGCAGAGAAGTAAGTCTTAAACTTGTGATGTCATTGGGTATGAAGTCTGGAGATGCTCTATAGACAGTGAATGGGAGTCTGACACTGGCATCAGTATAGAGGGGGCAACAAGACTTTTTGTCTCCTCACTTTCTGTGCGCACAAGAAGACACCACGGGCTCTATTTCTGTGGCACGGCCAGATCGCAGTCAGGTGCACCCTGGTAATTTCGTATGAACCCCGGCCACTGCAAGGACTCCGCCTACATGGGGCACCCACTCTACCAGTTGAGCTAGATGTCGCTTCTAGACTCTCAGTTTTTTGTGGCACTTTGTGAACTGTTTTCAGTGCAACCCGTTCCCAACAGACCTGTTGATGTGCAGAAGAAACTGTAGAATAATTTATCAAAACGACATGTTTGATGTGAACATAAGCAGTAGTTTGTGGTTATTTTACAACAGTCAGACACTGGTTGCACAAAATGTAAGTAGCGGATCTGCTGTGCCTAATTGTGGTTCAACAGGCCTTCAGATGGCTCTTAAAGGGTCACCAGTGTAAAGAAAAATTTATTTACATGTTGGAAATAACCCATCCCCTCACCTGCAAGCTATTATAGCGATCTACCAAAAACAGCCCAAACTCGGTGAGAGCACACAGTCTCCTCAGGACATGACATCATTAGATGACAACTATATTTCTTGTAGGAGGTGGAGCAACAACATCGGCACCATTTGTCTGAGAAGTGGTGCAGCAGTACTAATTTTAAAGCCTCATTTCCACAGAGCACTCCAGTACAGTGCAGTTCACCTCAGTACGCATTTTTTACGTTTCCACTGTGAAAAGTTGTGGATGGTACCAATAAAACCGTTCCTAATGTCGCCATTTTTGGTCCCCCCTCTGTTGGGGTACCTAGCACACAGATCTGGTACTAAAAGGTGGAGCTGTGAACACTGCAGTCTGTTGAGTGGTCAATAGAGGACGGTCACTCTGCTCAGGGCTGAGTTGTGGCTGGTTTTGAGGCTCATGTAACCACTGTTTATTTTAATCAGCATCAGTGAGTTTTACTTATATTAGTAAACTATAGCTATAAAATAAAAGGATGATTTGTTGCCTCTTGCAGCAGCTGTAGTCTGAGAAAAAATAACTGAACTCACTCGGCCGACTGCCGGCAACTTTTAAGGTAGAACGGTTACTTGTGATGTTACACATTAAATTTCAATATGACAACTTTGACCATTCCTTTAGGTTTTATTATCTCTCTTGAATGACATACACTTCTAGTAATGACTGTATCTTCAAGTGCTGAACTGCATACATTATAATCCTCACTACACTAAACCCTCGCACTTGCCTGAGAAGGACTAAATGCAAAAACCCGCCATTTTTAAATATCCCATCAAGAAAGACTCTCATTATTGCCTGCTGTATTTTGTTTTGATAATGTCAGCGTGCAACCTCGTTCTGTGGATGATAAATGAGGTGCAGGCTTCCCTTCGTATCACTGGTGATGATGAGTGTTCATTAGACCTAGCAGTGCTAACAAAACATTAGCATACCACTAAATTAGTCTACCATTGTTTTTATTTTTCTTGGCGCATGCTCAGTACACAAAGCAACAAGGGGCATGTGGGAAATGAGGAGATTACATGGTTTCCCAAATGTTCCATTTTTGTCCATACAAAAACAAAGTACCCGGAGCTTTGAAACATATAAACCATAGAGGGCAATTCTAATAAAAACCCCTCAGTTATAGTGACCCAAAAACACAGTTTCTGTGTGGAGGAGAGGCCAAAACGCAGACGAAAATATTAGTTTTCAAAAATATCTGTATAAATGTAGACATTCCTCCTGGTGCTCTCAGTGTCAACTATAACATTTTCCTAAATTTATTGTCTGTGGAGCAGCTCCAGATGTACACCCTATGACATCACAAGTTCGAGTTATACCACTCTAGTTTTTGGATTTAGGAAAGAGTTGTTCATATCGTCTTTAGCCATAGGAATAACAGTTCCTCTCCAAAAAAGATAACGAGGTAAAGACTGGACTTTTAGTGCTGCAATATAAATCTGAAATACACAGGATACAATGTACAAGCTGTTTGAAGAAATTCAATATACATGTATTGCATGTGGGTAAAAAAAAGCTAGTAAAAGATGAAGATGAATCTTACGCCATAATGTCTGTGTTTGGTTATACTACCCTATAAACTTTAGTGCCAGTTTGACTAAGAAAGCAGCATATAGATAAAGATTTCTGTATGTGTTATTCATGTGTTGATGCAGCAGCAGCTAAGCAGTGTTCTTGAGATGTTAGTTTTTATTTATAGAGGTGCTAGTGCTGCTTGTCAGTCTCAGGCAAAAAGAAGATACGATGGCCGTGGAAAAAAAAAGCCATCATGCACTCTCCACACTCTCCCTTGCACACACAAAAGCACAAACACAGACAGGTTGACCTTGATTTTCTCAGTGCTATAAACCCAGAAGGCCTTCTCCCTCATAGTTTAGTCTTCACTCAGATGCCTAATGGAGCCTATAATGCAGCACAAAGGAATGGCTTATCATTTTTCCCCTCATAACCCCTCATCCTTACTGCTGATAGAGCTGGCAAGGTCTCTCTACCTCACTAAGTGATGTCACCTCAGCCACAAAAGCAACAGCATCGGCACAGACGACATCAGACTGTGCTGTGATGACAAATTCCCCGAGCTACACAACATGTCTTCTGTGCACCTGATAATCTTTGTTGACACGGAGGGCCCAGAAGAAGGTCAGAGTGTACGCACTGGGAGGCCTCTGTGGTTAAGTGTGAGAGGACAACGTGTTTATTTTCTAAACTACAAGAGGATGTGGTGAGCCGCAAGCACCGCGAGCAGTGTTCTGACTGAGAGAAGCTGCTTCCTCACCAACACTCAAAACACATGGTGTTGTAACTGCTGCAGGGGATACGTGTGAACACATTACGAGCGAGCAGAGTTTATCCTGAATGTTGATAGAAGTGGTTTGTAATTTATAGCATATGCACAGGGAGTCCTCAGGGCTCTGCACTTGTTTTGCTTAAGATGGTAATGGGGCAGTGGTTGTTAAACAAAGGGAGGAATGAGATGGGGATATGCAACTCTTATTTTGTAAGAAATCATCGTGGTCAAATTACTGCAAATTCTGCAGTCGTGTAAAACGAAGTCTGAAACAATTGGTGCTGCCCATTAGAGTGCAGTTTAAAAACACAAGCCATTCCTGAGTGAGAAAGCTAAGGACCAGTATTCCAGTGTGATATACAGTCAATATAGCCCAGTGGTTCTCAACCTTTTTAATGTCAAGGACCCCTAAATTGATAGAAACTAGGTCACGGACCCCTGTTTAGTAAGATTTCGCTTGAGAGACCTCCATATGGAAAGATTTGGGTTTTTAGACATGATTAAGACCAGAATTCTGTTCTCAACTTCAGATGAGGAGATAACCATGGAGGAAGTGAAACCTATGATCAGAATCGTCACTCTTGTGACTCTTTTTCACATTAGGCTCACTTATATACCAAATAAAACTTTGAGAATCAACTATTCCAGATTTTTTCTGGGGACCCCTGGACAGGGTTCACGCTAAACCTTCTTTTTTGAGGTCCAATATGGCTGTTAATATTCCAGATTTCTGGCAATATGGAACAACTACCAGACATACATTCAAACAGCAAGGAAACACTTCCAATTACATATGTCAAAAATAAGCTAAATCTGGGTGTTGGTGGCTTAGTGGATAGAGCAGGCGCCCCATGTACAAGGCTTTTGCCACAGCAGCCTGGGTTCGAGTCCAGCCTGTGGCTCTTTGCTGCATGTCATCCCCCCTCTCTCTCCCCCTTTCAAACTTACCCGTCCTGTCCATTCAAGGCAAAATGCCCCCCCAAAAAAACATCTTTAAAAAAATAAATAAAAATAAGCTAAATCAATAAGTGGTATATTGAAGAGACAAAGGACTTGGTGCACCACGTGTCACTTTAAAAAGCCTGCTGTCCACTGTCTGGCTTGCCATTGGTGGAGTGAAGAGTGTCTCCGGCCTGCTCTTTAAGGAGACCCATGGTGTGTTTGAAGGTCTTCTGGAGGACATGATTCATGATGCTGTCACCTAACTACAGCGAGCACGCTAAGAGGAAGACCGTAACCACTGTGGATGTGGCGTATGCTCTGAAGAGTGACGCACTCCATATGGCTTTGATGGATAAATCAATCCATCTGTAATTAATATCCCAAAATCTGGTCGGTGTAATATAAGTTTATATTTAAGTTGTCTCAGCAATTTATCGTATAAGTCACACAACATTAGGCTATCTATTACGCTATTTTTAAAATTTATTTGCCATATTTTCCACCAGACATTTTGGCTGTTGATATTTTTATCTGCACCCAGGGTACCTTGCACGTCGTATGTGGACGTGGAAAGTCCATGACCAAATGTCAGTATGTCACGAGGTTGGAGTGAGAATGTGTTGGCCGGACAACTACATATGAAATTGGTAAAAAGCCTGTGTATGCCACCTGACATTAACCCTGCCCCTGGAACTCCCACAAGGACCCCTGGGTGTCCCCAGGCCCTATTGAGAAGCACTGATATAATGTACTGAAAGCATTTCTTTATCAACAGTAAACTGTGTTTTTAATGGACACACTGCACATTGCTGGTCTTGTTACATCCAGTTAACCTCAATAATCTAAAGACTGAAATCCTCCTCACAGCCAGGGCTGGAAATGAACT